CCACCTCTCTCTGTCTCAACCCCTTCCTGAACTCTGCAACTCTTTTTTTATTTAACATCCAGCATTTCATCTTTGCTTCTCCTTCACTCACTTTCTCTTCTTGATATCCGTCATCCACCATCCAAACCTCCCCTAACACCACCTTGCAGGATCTCTTTCACATTTAGATGAAATCCACCACTTCATCCAGGTTTCACCAGACTTCCTCTTTCTCCTCTAAACTCCAACCTGTGAGGCATACAAACTGACAATCAACACAGCCCCTACCATTTCCAGCTTCAAACTCATGATCCTCTCTTTACCTCCACAAAACTATTCACATACTCTTCCTTCAAGATTACACCTATTCCAGTTTTCTTCCTTCTACACCAAAGTAGAACATCTGGAATTTACTTCCAGTGTTACCCTCTCTACTTTTCAGATTAGGCTGTCACAAAGTAGGAGCAAGTTATGTAGGAAAATGGCATGGCAGCTCTGCCACCATTGTACTTTTGGAAACCACAAGTAAGCCTGTTTCTCAAAGTACTCTAGTGGAATAGTGAAAGGTCTTTGCGATATAATGGGTCCTGATTATTGAAGACTTTTTATGTGCAAGGAAAGATTGAAATAACTTAATTTCTAGATTTGTTTAATGGTAGATATACACCTTACACTTTCCATGTTGCATATTTGACACAGATGTGATGGTTCCAGTACCAGAGCCTCACCCCATCGCATCTTACCAACAGATGCTTCAATCAAACTTCCAGGACAAGTTTATGTGCGCACAAGAAGGTTGGGCAGAAGATAAACAGTGTCTGGCAGATATCTACACAGAGCTGTACATCACAGCTGGGTATGATGTACATATCAACACACAGCATGAGGTTTGGCAGATTGAGAAAGTATGGAAGCCAGCAGAGCCAGAGAAACCTATTAGACCCACAGACATGTTTAAACATCCCTCTGGAAAATACAGACCCATCAAAACAGTGATGACCAATGGAATCGCAGGAATTGGAAAAACTTTCCTTGTTCAGAAGTTTGTTTTGGACTGGGCTGAACAAAGATCCAATCAAGATGTGCATCTGATTTTCCCCTTCACCTTCCGTCAGCTGAATCCTCTGAAGGGAGAAAAGTTCAGTTTGGCAGAGCTCATTCATGAATGCATCCCAGAAACTGTAGGCATCCCACAGGAGGCTCTTAATTACATCTTTACAGATGTTCAGTCATCAGGAATCACCAACTATGACAAGAGTAAATTCAAACTTCTGTTTGTGTTTGATGGGCTGGATGAGAGCCGCCTTCATCTCGACCTTCATTCTGAAGACATTCGCTCTGTCGATGTAACAA